TCTTGATTAAAAACATGAAAAGGTTTGGAAAATATCTGCTGACAAAGAGTTGACAATGCACATGCTTTGCAAATCCTGCAATCGACCGAAATCTGCACGACAGTTTACGAACCGAATTTCGATTTCGGTGCGCGATTTTGATTGGACTATGCATAGACTCGTTAGTCCAGCCAAAATGTAACTCCATTATACCAGCCTAGTTCGGCAAGGGTGGAAACTGGACTGTTAACTCTCATGCCTCCGGAATATGTACTTCAACATGTCTTTCACTGTTTCAGTTTTGAATGAGGATTGTGTATATTTAGAAAATATACATTATTATGACATATCTTTCTCACAATACCATTCTCACATGGAATGTGTACAAGGCAACATGTACATTATTTTTAGGTACTCTTAGTAACTCGTACCCTTCTATTAAAGAAGTCACACGCACATTAGAAACTAATATCAATGTTGGTTTAGAAATGTTTGTAAATCTTATTCTCAATGCAGCTGAATGTATGCAGAAACTTACTGTTAATAGAAACAAGCCACAAAATGGATTTATAATTTGAACTTAAACGCTGTGAGCTAGACGTCATTTGAGAAGATTCCGCCAAAAAAGTCAAATGAAAGTAAACTAATTTATTGTCACAAGAGAAATAAATACAAACATATGTGCAAAGTATTAAAATCCAATTATCAGCATATAAAGAGCAAACCTTAAACCATGTATTAAAGACTCGTCTATGTTTTGGAAAGAATTGTGAAGTTGAACAAGCCCGTGGGACCGGGGTAATGAGATTGATAAAAAACTGCTGGTTTGGGTATTTTAAGAAAGTGTTTAATAATTGTGATGAAATTTGTGAGAATAGCAATACTACCGACCATGTAGAATCTCCTTCAGATTATATTGATAAATGCATTCTGGAGTCGCCCATCGCGGACCAAGAGATTCCGGCAGCAGTCAAACATTTAAAGAATGGCAAGTCCCCTGAACATGACGATATTATCACTGAAATGGTAAAATGTTCTGAACCCTTTATATTTCCATTCTTAAGTACTTTATTTCACAAGCTACTTGATTCTGTTGCATTTCCCGAATCCTGGACAAAGGCAACCATAATTCCCTTACATAAGAAAGACAACAATCCAGATTACTACAGAGGAATATCTCTTTAATGTGTAGTAAGTAAAATTTATACCTACATTTTAACTACCAGACTTTCTAACTGGGCAAATGTTAGAGTTACAAAAACAGAAACTCTGGTTTTCGTCATGTATATTCTGCAATGGATCATGTATTCACTTTAAATGCAATAGTACAAACATGTTTATCAGAAAAGAAAAATAAACTCTATGTTGCCTTTGTTGACTTTAGAAAGGCATTCGACTCTATCAATCGTACTTAGCTTTGGAATTGTTTGTACACATCTGGTTTGATCAGGAAAATGTTTGGAGCCCCGAAAGCCATCGATTCCTCGGTGAAAGCATATGAAAGATGCAGCGATTGTGCATGTAGTTTGTTTGTTGTTTATTGCCGCACTCAGCAATATCCAAGCTATATGACGGCGGTCTGTAAATAATCGAGTCTGGACCAGACAATCCAGTGATTGACATCATGAGCATCAATCTACGCAATTGGGATACGATGACATTCATCAACCAAGTCAGTGAGCCTGACCACCCGATCCCGTTAGCTGCCTCTTACTTGAAACATTGTCGCCTGTTACGACAAGCATGGGTTGCTGAAGATCTATTCTACCCCGGATCTTCACGGGTCTGGTGTATGAAGTGAATATTTTAACTGCCCTGTTGGTTTAAAACAAGACGGTTTATAAAGCCCTCTTTTAATCTCCTCCCACATAAATGAATTATCTGGACATTCTAGACAACTGTAAATATGGGGTACAATTAATCCCTGACGTACTTGCAGATGATGTTATACTTGTATCTGATGTAGTATCCGAGTTACAAAAAACACCTTAATATTTTAGAATCGTATACGGATATATGGGGTTTAACAGTAAATCTAGACAAGACAAATATAGTGATATTTAGAAGAGGTGGACGTCTGTCGAGAAATGAAAAATGGTTTTATAAAGGTGAAAAGGTTTTAACTGGTGAATCATACAGATTTCTAGGAATAATTTTCTCATCTACAGGTAAAATGAATAAAGGTATTCTAGATTTGTCTTCAAGGGGTAAACGAGCTTTAATGGAAGTCATCCATCCCTTGTATTTACTTGGTTTTGTGGACCCATCTGTTTTTAAGATATTCGACACCCAAATGCAGCCTATCTTATTATATGGCGCTGAGGCGTGGGGTACAAACAGATTTGAAAAGATTCAAACTGTCCATTTAATTGCTTGCAAGACATTTCTCAACGTTGGTCCTCCAACACCTAATGTAATTGTATGTGGCCAATATCCGTTGTACATAAATGCACTCTGTCGTTGTATAAAATACTGACTTAAACTTGCCGAAATGCATTATGACAGAATTCCTGAGAAAGCCTATGATATGCTTATGTACTGTGATTAATGCGGATACCAAACCCATGCACCTACTGTACGCACTCTGTTGTTTTCACAAGAATTTGGATTTGTATGGATCGCTCAGTGTGTCGGAGATAAATTTACTTTTCTCAGACGGTATAAAAAGGTTGCAATTGATAAGTATCATCGATCATTGATAAATAGTTCAAGATATAACATATATAAAGAGTTTACATAATCTAATCGAACCAGTGAAGTAGGACACCCTTTTAACAGATGGAAAACAACGTAACATATTGATAAGACTGAGAGCAGGGTTGTTAAGGTTAAAAGTTAATGAAAAGAGATGGTCGGGGATTGATTTAAGTTTACCTTTATGTCCTCTTTGTAATCTTGGGATAGAAGATGAATCATTTTATCTTAATATGTAACCATAAAAGAAGATAAGACATCTCTATCTGCCTGAAATGTATTGCCCTAATCCGAATATCTATAAATTTAGATCGCTTCTGTCTTCCAACGACGTAAGGTTATCAGAAAATTATGTAAATATTTGTCAAAATTATGAAGCGAGATAAAGTTTTGCAAACACTAGAATATATACTATGGCATAATTTACTTATGAATTCATGTACCATTGTAATATGTATGTGTGCACTTTACCTGTACATGGGCCAGTGGCCTTCATTCAAATCTGCCACCCAGCGATCCCACACCGTACGGGGGCCATGCAAGGGGAACATTTTCCATTTTTCAGGTTGGATATTTTTACAGATGATACAGGCGCGTCAAGTGTCAATCTTCCGCTGACCTGTATCTCCCTGTGTGTCGTGTCATATTTCAACCACGTGAATTTCGTGCAGCACGTGCACTAGTCACTCCGACACACGATGGACGAGGTTGCCAATGGTGAAGCGTCAATCTCCCCGTTATAAAACTGACGGACTTAGGCTGGGAGGCGCGAAACCATCAGTATGTCAGAAGATATGGATTAGAAAGTAATTACAAGCAATTCACGAATTCCATTTCCAAAGTACTTATATGTTAGTCGTTAATAATAACCCACGACCTGGGAGGAACAACGGATTATCTGCTTCTTTACCCCGCCTTGATCCTCTGGATGAAAGTTATCTTCTTCTTGTGTGTTATCGCAATACACATCTATGGCTGTTGTGTTTCTCTGTCTCCTGGTAGTCATATCTAATGTTGCATATTAAGCGTCTAATTTCGGCTTCGGTCATAGGATTGTCTGGTCCAGACTCGATTATTTACAGACCGCCGTCATATAGCTCAGTAGGGAGTTGGGATCGTAGGCAGTAGGGGATCGGTTCGAACCCTGAGGTAACAGTACCTCAGGTTAGTAACCACGGGTAGTTTGGGGGTCGGAATCGCAGGGGATAGGAGTAGGGGGTCAGGTAAGCATCCTCCGGTAGTAAGGGGTCTGGATCGTCACGTTCACAGGAGGTCGGGTTCTTACCATCAGCTAGTAGGGCCCCATGGGTAGTTGGTGTCAGGTTGGTCCTCTTGGGTAGCAGGGGGTCGAGTTCTCACTCTGGGGTAGCAGAGGGTCAGGTTCTCACTCTGGGGTAGCAGGGGGTCAGGTTCACACTCTTGGGTAGCAGGGGACCAGGTTCCCACTCTGGGGTAGCAGGGGGTCAGGTTCACACTCTTGGGTAGCAGAGGGTCAGGTTCTCACTCTGGGGTGGCAGGTGGTCAGGTTCTCACTCTGGGGTAGCAGGGGGCCAGGTTCCCACTCTGGGGTCGCAGGGGGTCAGGTTCCCACTCTGGGGTAGCAGGGGGTCAGGTTCTCACTCTGGCGTAGCAGGGGGTCAGGTTCTCACTCTGGCGTAGCAGGGGGTCAGGTTCCCACTCTGGGGTAGCAGGGGGTCAGGTTCTCACTCTGGCGTAGCAGGGGGTCAGGTTCTCACTCTGGGGTAGCAGGGGGCCAGGTTCCCACTCTGGGGTAGCAGGGGGCCAGGTTCCCACTCTGGGGTAGCAGGGGGTCAGGTTCCCACTCTGGGGTAGCAGGGGGCCAGGTTCCCACTCTGGGGTAGCAGGGGGTCAGGTTCCCACTCTGGGGTAGCAGGGGGCCAGGTTCCCACTCTTGGGTAGCAGGGGGCCAGATTCCCACTCTGGGGTAGCAGGGGGCCAGGTTCCCACTCTGGGGTAGCAGGGGGCCAGATTCCCACTCTGGGGTAGCAGGGGGTCAGGTTCTCACTCTGGCGTAGCAGGGGGCCAGGTTCCCACTCTGGGGTAGCAGGGGGCCAGATTCCCACTCTGGGGTAGCAGGGGGTCAGGTTCTCACTCTGGCGTAGCAGGGGGCCAGGTTCCCACTCTGGGGTAGCAGGGGGTCAGGTTCTCACTCTGGGGTGGCAGGGGGTCAGGTTCTCACTCTGGGGTGGCAGGGGGTCAGGTTCTCACTCTGGGGTAGCAGGGGGTCAGGTTCCCACTCTGGGGTAGCAGAGTTTGGGTTATTACCCTCCGACATGACAACAGGAAGTGACAACAGAGGCTAAAAGTTGAAGGTGAGGTTTGTTTAATATAGTTAAAATACAATACAGTTTAATATTGAGTTGCTACATCACAGCACATTCAACAGAAAGACTTGGACAAATGTATGGTAAATCAACATGAAAACAAGCAAACACACAAACACATGGCCTGATGATAATGAAGGCACAGACATTTGAATCCAATCATGAATGACAGAAGCCTAAAGTTGTGTTTCAATGTACAGTGACCCTCTCTATAGAAGTAACTTATTTGGTAAAGTTGATTTTTTTCACATGAATACATATTGTTTACTCAAACCTTGTTACCTTTAATAGAAGGATATACCAGATGGGACTCAACCCCCAAAAGTACTGGAATTTGTACTTTTTTTAGAAAGATTTATCCCAAATATAACATTTGTTACTATTGCAAGTTGTTTTCCTGGAGTTGTATTCACATACCGGTAAGCAATTATGGCTGTTCAACCCAGATTTCAATCATATGAGATATAATGAAATGAAATATAATGAAATTAAAATATGTTTAAATCACAGCTACAGCTAAGCATAGATATTTCCATGGATACAGATTCCAATGTCTGTGTCTGGTATAAGGACTTGGGATAACAACTGTCCACTGAACCAATGATAAACAACTAAATATATTCTTTAAATGCACCCTTTCAGGGATACATCATGGGTATTCTCATGCAATCTTCAAATTCTCTATGTTTAAAGGATAACTTGTGTGATCACACTTTATATAAATTCTCACATACTACTCAAAAGGTAAGGATCACCTGATCTGTTATGCCATAGCAAATTAATAATAATCATATGAAAGATGGGTGGTCCTTAACTTTTTTTAAGAAGTATATACAATTCTTTGATTTGATTCTTTTCATTTAATACGTATGATAAAATATGATCAGAACAGATACTGATTTGTACTTTAGTTTTTCATTATTGTAGCCAAAGTCTTATAAAATAATAATTCAATTAATTTTTATGTATATCTAAAAGTATTTAAAGTAATCAAATTTATCAACAAGTATTTTGGTTCATATTGTCGAATATCCAGAATTGAATAACCAACTAATTATGTCATCTGCATGTTCATGTTCCAATGTCTGATGAAAACTAAGCAAACAGTGGGACATATATACCACTAAACCTTTGACAGAGATATTGCTGTTATTTAATCAAACACCAAACTTCATATTCTAATGTTATGAGTGGTTTGTGTCTTGGGACCACTGAACAGCAAGCCTGAAGTGATGCTATCTTACACATTTACCACGCTGCTGAAACCCACATGACATGGTGCTGACAAACCACAGATCATAATCAGGGAGAATCTGGATTCAAACCCACAATCACATGGTCCTTGACTGTCCAAGGGAGGCAACTCTGTATATGACTGGGCCACCCAAGTGCTCACTCAATACATGTAAATATATTTTTGGATCAGATTTCTTAGTATCCTTATCAAAAATTGAGTGGTATACAATAAAAAATATCAACATCTTTAATGAACCAGTTTGATTTTCAACACAAATCACAGAATTAGTTTCAAAGGGACTAACACCGACTCGAATAATAAATGATGGTTATGTATTCAAATTCAAATACTGAACAACAAATATAACATCACTAAAATAATGTTTTGTCTGAACAATATATGAATATTTGGACGTGACCTCTAGCATGTCAACTACACACATCTATACATGTATTAAACAAGCACCTGCTGCTGCAGCTTGCTGCTACTGTAGCAGCTGTAGTAACACAGAGACAATTTCATTCAAATAATATCATTAAATTCAAACAGATTCAAATTAACACAAATTCACATTTTATAACGCATAGGGCTGACCATTTTATTGTCTTGTTTCAAATGTATTTGCTTGTATAAAATATTATGAAATATAAATAAAATTAAAATGTCAGGGGTTAAACAAAAAATAAGTTCCTAAAACAACTTCTTGAAATTAAAATTGTAGCAAAATTAAAAAATTCGTTGCAAAATGATAAACAGATGTTCGTAAAAAAACATTTCATTGCAGCATTCTTTGTCATTATTTTATTTGTACTTTGGGAACAAAACTTCACCATGACCAAACATTTAAAGAAAAAAAGAACAAAATAATGTGAATATGGGATAATGTGATGTTTGTGATTGTTGTGACTAGAACGCATGGAGTTATCATGAAACATTAGCTGTTGGGAAGCAAGACATAGCTCAACAAACATGTGACAACCTTTCTTCTACCTGAGACCGCCCCCATGGTCTAGTGGATGGAACACCTGAATCATCTGATTGTTCCATCCCCGGCCTCGTCATACCAAAAGACATTAAAAGATTGAACTTGTTGTTGCCCTGCCTGGCACTCAGCATTTTGGGGCTAAAACAAGGACTGGTCGGCTCGGAGTCAGTACACTGTGTCTGAGTGGGGTATCCATGTTAAACTGTGGCATGGTATCTGAGCTGGCTAGCATGATGAATACCACAAATACATGTGCATGCCTATAAGTGCAATAATTTTGAAACCCCATTTCACCTTGCCTCACCTCTACCTGGGGGGAAGCTAGCTGAGTCTAGTATATGGTTACTGGTATTCCTCAGATCATAACATTAATATCACAGTTATCTAAATTCTTTACTTACAAATGTATCTCAAATTTTCGAACACCATATAATTTATTTGTTATGGCCTAGGATGACAGTTGGCGTTGAAAGCTACGAATATCAAAACCAGATCTTTTCACTTGGAACCCAACCACATTATTTGTTTGTACAAGTTGAACTAAACTCCCTGTAAACTGATATGTAACATACATGAAAAATACATCAATATAATCGGAGGGGAAAACATTTACTACCATAAATATACATGGTGTAAAAACTTACATTCCACTACAGTAATGAGATCTAGCAACTTCTGAAGAAATTGGCGAGTCAATGGCGAAGACATTGGCAGATAAATGCCAGGAACTTATGCACATTTCAACATGACATGAGCGAATACAATCATATATGTGTTACAGTCAATGAGTAAAATAATCACTGAGTCAATTTACAAAACGCCAAAATATTTCAGTCATTTTACAATACTTTTTCCTTCAGATTGACTAAAAGTTATAAAGAGGTTCACAACGGCTTAAAAACATCACAATGAACTAATTATGCTTGGATGAGAACCCATCCCCATAAACAAAATATATATATACTTTGATGTTGTTGTTTTTTTACAATCCTATCATTTGCAGTCACTTGGTGATGAAATAGAGCAAAATTTGGAATTTGTTATAATATAACAAATGGAAAAATAACTGTAAACTGAGTCATTTTACACACTGAATGTAACATATATATATCAAAACAAGTGTCTAAATTTAACTTCATTTTTGTGAAATAAGTTCTTAGGTCTGGTAGTTTGTTAAGAGACCATGAGTGAGGCCTAAAGCCGCTTGAAGCTGACTAAACTACCTTATTTATCGATGGGGTGAATCTGGAAACACACATGTTTTATGGGGGTGGGGCAGGGGTGGGGCGGGGTGAAATTGCATGACAGTGACGGACACCAAGAATGGTCTTCACACATTCTACCCATATGGGGAATCAAACCCAGGTATACCGGTATGCATTGCAAGGCAACACCCCAACCACAAGACTACCTCACAAAGAAAAAAGGGGGGTCTCCAATAATATAATGACATGATCTAATGAAGGTCACAAAATATAAATGAAAACAGAATTTTGACAATATCATCCATAATGGAAAAGTCATTACTGTAGATATATTGTTTCTGTCGATAGAAATGTCATGGTATGAATAACTTTGGCAAGTATTCTGAATGATCAGAATTTGGAAGGTTGTCTCAATGGGATTATTTTACAGTTGAGGTCTTTGTTCAGTTACTAAGCTCACAGATATTTTTTTCCAAAACCAAAAATGAAAAACAATTAATCTGAAATTAATTTTTTAAAGTGAGCTCATAAGAAAACTATTTAATTCAGTAAATGTGGGTTTTAATGACAAGTAAGAGTTACCTCCCCTCCCATATTTACAAATTTTGATGTGACTACATGGTCATTGACTACCAGAATGTCATGTGACTATAATAATGTCATGTGACTGAGACAAAGGCAACACAATCTCAAACAGAGGCAACACAATTTTTACACCTAATACAGCATTCAAAACTAATACTGACATGAGAGTACTACAAAATTGCACGAGACTGTAATACTATTCGGCAAAAAGGTTGAGCTATAAGATTAAAATCAGAATGAGATTCTTCACTGAAGTAAAAGACTAAAAACACTTTTATATGAACACAGAGTGAGCAGATTTCAAACATCATATCTCTGCAAAAAATGAGATTGATGTGATTGATATGAAAATTCAGTGAAATGATTAAGTTAATTATCAGATTCGAATATGGTCATGTTTATGAAAAACGGACAGGATGAGTGATACAAATTATGAATCATAAATAATAAATTATGAAAATATTTTGAAAGAACTACCCCAATTGTCTTTTTGCAAGTTGCGAGTTAGAAACAATTAGATTTAAGGTTTCCCTTAATCAATAATTTGTTTTCTTAAATATTTCAATTACAGGGTAATCTCTTTGGACCATACACACCATTTCAGCCATCAGTAGAGTTAAGCCAGGAAACTGAATACAGTGTACTTCTCTGGGAGTCATAGTGGATTTCATTGAACATGACTGACAGAGTGGAGATGTGTCCCCCTCATTGAACATGAAGTTTACACATCAATATTTTCCTGTTTTCAGGCAAGACTATTTTTTTAAAATGCTGTTTTGGATCGACATTACATTTCATTGAAATAAACAAGTCAACATCATCTAATATGTTTTCAATTTTTCCTTCTGTCTTTGGCATATTGAAAAAATAAATAAAATAATTTAATTAAATTACTGTATTTCAAATTAATTAATTTTCGAAAATCTTAACTTCACTTAACTTCACTTGAATATAATTAAACCTAGGGACAGTCATACCCTGAATATTAACATAAAGGTTATAACCGGCACACTGTTAATTTAGTCAAACTCACATGGCGATGTCATCTGTGGAATTCACAAACTATTTGAAGTAATTACTTTCTGAGGAATGAGAATGATACCACAATGAGACCACATCAAATAGGTTGGTGTGGAAACGTGAAGTGTAAAAGCGTATTGCTATGTACAATGCATATGTAGGATATATTTCTAAAAGTCAGAATGCACACTCACCTCTGACAGTGTAAATAGGGATAAAACTGATGTTAAAGTAACAATGCACATTGCTTGTTTCATGGAGACAAATAACAACTGAGTATCAGTATCAAGTATTAGTATCAAGTATCAGTGTCAAGTATCAGTACCAAGTATTAGTACCAGTGTCAAGTATTAGTATCAAGTATCAGTGTCAAGTATTAGTATCAAGTATCCGTATGAAGTATCAATATAAATATCAAGTATTAACATCAAATATTAATTATCCACATCAGTATCAATTATAAGTATCAAGTATTAGTATCAAGTATTAGTATCAGTATCAATATCCATATTCATTTCAAGTATTAACATCAAATATAATTTTAACAATATCAGTATCAAGTAATAGCATCAAGTTTTAGTATCAGTTTTTAGTATCAGTACTAATTAAGTATCAAACAGGAATCAAATGTTGAGGAAATTGATACAATTCCAGAGATTGAGCTGGATCTAATGCAGCTGCAGTATTTCAGCTACCGTAGTTTCTCTAATAAGCAATCTGGCACTTTCATATTCTTTGAACGAGTTTCCAAACCTGGCAGGTAATGGAGGCTCAGCGGTAATTAGAGACCTGGAACTTGGTATTACAACTAAGGTGTTGCTGCATAAACACATGGAAGCCTCTTACAGAAAAATGCACAGCCATGTGCTGCTAAACACGGGATCCTTCACTTCAATGCATGTTTATTATTTATTTAAGAGAGGGTAATCTAAATCTAACACACATGGCCTTTATGAGAGACCCAGCACTTTTTAGAGACCCAGCACTTTTTAGAGACCCAGCACTTATTAGAGACCATGAGCTTATTGTGTTGTTAGCTGCTTCGAAAATGGCGCTTATTAGAGGCTGGCACCTATTAGAGTCCGGGCGCTTATTGGAAGAAATACCGTGACTATAAACAGGAAGCTGTCCCTATTTCCTTAATGAATTCAAAAATAAGATATTAATGGTAAAAGTGGTATTACACAATGAAATGTCACTAGTCCTTCCGGAAGTTCAAAGTCTTAGACTAGCGGATTTACTTTAATTTTCAAAGCTACTCTTCAGTTTAATGTGTGAGGAGCATCTAAAGAAGCAAGTTGTCGACTTTTTCCACTTAGGTTAAATCTCTGAATGAACCGAAGCTGCTGGTAGATCTCAATCAGAGTGAATCTCAGGTAAGTGTGACATCTTTCATCGATGTTTCACGAAAGGTTCTGCACCTATCATTACCAGTCTTACCGCTGGCACCAACATATGCAAAAATAAGCATATATTTATTTTAATAAATCCACAAATATACTACTCAATGTTTGATAGGGATACTGAAATATCAGACTTTGAAAATGTGAAGTTGAAAATTCCACATCAAGGCTACACCTTTGTTTTCACAATGACAGACAAAAGTAGAACAATAAAAATGTTGAGAAGCTGATATGTTTAGTTTTGTATGAATTTGTTTTGAGAGAGTTGAATGATAAATCTGGTCAAGATACAAGATCTTAACTGCTTGTATGGCAACACATACATTATTGTACTGTAAGAGAAGGAATTGTTCTGGTTTATAGATGCTCAAAAATTACTGTCAGCATGGACCTAATGTTTTTGAAGTTGTACGGGTTTTTATCCATCAATGATAAAACTACTTCAAAATATTGTTATCTTATTTTCTATTGTAGATCTTAGTTGAATCCATAAACAAAAAAGTCAAAACGTGTCGCACAATATAACAAGTACTAATCGTAGGACAGCATCTTCAAACAGCATCTAATATATCCCTATCAAAGTTTGAGTAGCATCTATTCCCTCCTATTAGTAGCTGCCATCTCAGTATCTGAAACTAAAAGGCAAGTAGTATTCCTTGGAGAAAACTTGTCTCAGTGAGATTATAAATATTAGGTGTGACAAAGTCTATCAATTCAATCTCTTATGAAGGATGATTTCAGGAGATATCTGAGAAACACTACCTCTAAAGGTCAAGGTTTCAGACATCAGAGGTGAAGGTCATTTACAAAGTACAATCTTTCTGCAATACAGTAATATTTTCTAAAAATATTGTTTTCATTCCTTTATAGGAAATAGTTCACGTCAGTGCTGACAGCATTTTGAACACTAGTGGCACCTAAGCACATTTGTAGCATGGTCAAACATTGTGTCCATGATCCCTGACTCCATGTTACTGTCAAGGTCAATATTATAGCAAAGTCAAGGTCATTCAGTAAAGAAATTTCTTGAGAATACATACATATATGATTATGACATTAAACTTGTCAAACATTGACGAGGCTGTCTTGACAAATGACCTTTATTTTCCAGATCAAGGTCATTCAAGACACAGTTTCCTCGTAAGCATCTGGAGTTTTTAGATAATCTGGTAGTCGGTCGAACATGATGTGTGTGTAGTGATCTTGAGCTAACTCTGTGAGAGCTTCAATTATTTGACTGTAGGTCGGACGGTCTTCAGGGTTGCCATGCCAACAAGCTGACATCATGTTGAACCTGTAGAGAAACAAAAAAACTTGAAAATATTCAATCTCAATTTCCAGACCTGACTTGAATCACGAAGCAAAGTAATCTCAGATATGGTAAAAGGGAGGCAACTCTGTTGAGGCAAAGGCAATATCTTCATTTTGGCTTTCAAAGAGTACAAAGTGCTTTGAGAGAAACAAAATTCAGAAACACTGGACACTTCCCCTAAATGTTATCCTGAACACTTCTCCCTAAATGTAACCCTGGACACTCAGCCCTGAATAAAACCATGAACACTTCTCCCTGAATGTAAACCTGAACACTTCTCCCTGTATACTTCTTTTCGAATGTAACCCTGAACACTTCCCCTGAATGTAACCCTGGACACTTACAGGTGGGGGCTGCAGTGTTGGGGCTGGGGCATCCTGTACCCGGACTGCACCCTCTCCAGCACTTCCTGGGGCCCCATGGCCGGGTACGGGGTCATCCCTGAAACATGCACACAATCACGTACAGCCACAGAAATCATCTTATTATCCTCCACTCATTACTTTTGATAGAGATCACCACATATTCTGTAAAAATATCCACTTGAGAATCAGTTTTGAGTTTCACGGAAAGACACAAATATCTCTATCAAAAGGGTAGCAGTGTATTGTGAATATGCTTGAAGATGCTACTGCAAGACCTTCCACTCCTTCCACAAAGACCACATGTGCAGCAGAGTGGAGGCAGCCATTGCCCCCTTGGAAGGCCTCTTGACAACAGCCAAGAAACCATCTTGCACAGCACTGCATGTTTAGAGAGTAGAAGGAAGGCAGACAATGAAAAAGATGGGAAGAACATCATTCACGATGAATGCGTTAATGGACTATTGTGACAAATCAAAGAAATGGTCGAAATTGTTTATTCAAAACGTGATACCAAATAGCATAATTTTGCACTGATTTTGGGTAACCAATCAATCACCAGATGGACTGTTAATTAAAGTTTAATAAAATTGTTGCATGACAATAAATCAAGTGCAAAAAGCTATTTGAATGTGTTTAATAAGACAAACTTACCATCAAGCGATCCATACATTTTGTTTATATGCCACTTACCAAAATGTAGGATTTCCCACAAAACTATTCCATATGCCCACACGTCTGTCTTGATGCTGAACACTTTCTCCGCCAGACACTCCGGGGCCAGCCACCTCACAGGGGACGATGACTGAAAACAAAATGTTTGTTTGAAATATTCCATCTAATATGACAGCGGTCTGTAATAATTGTGTCTGGACCAGAAATTCAGTGATTGATATCATGAGCAATGGCCTACAATGTTCAGGAGGTAAGGCTTGTGACTTGGTGTCAGCGTGTCATTTTACACTGGTTGATGTGAGAAGGTGAGTCAGAATATCAATCTCTGGACTGTCTGGTCCAGATTGACGTCACATAGCTGGAATATTGCTGAGTGAGCATAACAACAAACTAGGGCTGGGACGGCTAACTCAGGTACTCGGGTCAGGTAGGTCTACCCAAGTCTACCCAAACCCATGGTTAGTCATGTGATATATTGTTTAATGCGAAAAATTATCTGGAACTCCATGGTTACACTACAATATTAGTCACTTATGTTTGCATTTCTTTCTGACTATGCACACATTCCTTCTGACTTTTGTATGTTTGAATAAAGATAAAACTTCAGTCAACTTCAGTCAACTTCAGTGTATACATGACCAGATCGTTTTATACGTGGACACCTAAATAGATTTGTCCAGGGCTAAGGTCAAACTAGCGTGTTCCCAATCAGACTTTTTGAACCTATCTTTTGTGACCTACAGCGGGTACCCGGGTAGGGTCGGGAAATAGTGGGGTGGGTACCCACGTAGTAAATTTGGACTAGCATGGGTATAGCACTGTCAAAGGATCCTGGCATGTCTAAGGGAAGTAACCCAGTGAGCACCTTGGACGACCTGGCCATCTGTGAGCCTACACTACTGAAGGACAAGGCATGAGTTCACTACACACAGTGTGACCTGAACTTCCTATTCTCTGTGTCCACTGTTTCTGACTTGGATTACAGTACCCACCAATTCATATATATTCCTTTCTGCCACCTCCTGGGGAAATCCGAAGCCGGAGAGTTTACAGATGCCTCCCTTCCCAACCAGCACACGGGCAGTCTTCAGGCGGTAGTAGATCAGCTGCACACACAAAACATGCCGAGTTACAACAGCAATCACACCTAGTCTTGGGTCTGTTAGTCCTAAAATCTAGTAATTAGGTCCAAGTCAGGTCAGTAAGTCTAGTCTCAGGTCAGTAAGTCTCAGGTCAGTACGTCTCAGGTCAGTAATCTCAGGTCAGTACGTCTCAGGTAAGCAAGTCAAGTCTCAGGTCAGTAAGTCAAGTCTCAGGTCAGGAAGTCAAGTCTCAGGTAAGCAAGTCAAGTCTCAGGTCAGTAAGTCAAGTCTCAGGTCAGTAAGTCAAGTCTCAGGTAAGCAAGTCAAGTCTCAGGTCAGTAAGTCAAGTCTCAGGTCAGTAAATCTCAGGTCAGTATGTCTCAGGTAAGCAAGTCAAGTCTCAGGTAAGCAAGTCGAGTCTCAGGTCAGTAAGTCTCAGGTCAGTAAGGCCTCCAGTTTATATCTAGGGGTCATGAAAACATTCAGTGACGGCCAGCCTACCTTGAACCTTTGAAGATGGTCCAGGCCGCTGGCTATCTGGGCCGCAAGGGCCAGGAGTTTGTGGGGGTCAAGGGTCTGGTTCTGCAGCCGGACTGCCTGGTTCTCATTGCTGTGGTTGATGACCACCTCCTGTTGCCCGGGGCGATGTTTCTGTAGGAATGCCAGTAAGCTCCCCTCCGACGTGTACTCTAGCATCACCAGCCAGGGCTCTGTGGGAACACGCCAACACGTTAACATCATGGCACCGACTGAAGCCTTTTTTAATAAGTTGGTTCATGGATATCATTTTTCAAAACTTAGGGTCGGTGGATTGAAATCAACATAAAAGTACACAAGAACAAGCCACACACACATAATTTCTCAAAAAACGTTGGATCGTTGGTCAAAATAAAAATATAATTAGAAACTTTTTTTCTCAGCAATCCTAATTTTTAGTGTTGAGTAAAGTAATACAAATAATATTGGTAAGCTTGAGATAAACATGCACATAAACTTGATATATAAATGATGATGGTGATGATGATGATGATGATGATGATGTGTACTGCCATATTCACATGCCCAGAATTAATTTGCTCTAAGCGCTATGTTCAGTAAAACTGATAAAATAAGAGTACATGTCCATGAAATACAAAACCATCCATCCCTATATTTTATTGACAATAAACCTAAACAAATTAGACCACACCCACCAACAGACTACTGTTTCCTGATTGGCAGATAATAGATTGAGTGGGGCTTTCATTGCATTATTGTACTGAACACGATATCACTGATTTTGTACTGTTGTCAGTAGGGTTCTGTGTTAATGATTAAATAAGCAGTCAGTTAAGCTATCATTGTTATATTTACCCTGGTATATGTCACAGTATTGACTTCAAGATGTTTTGCGTTTATTGAGCTATAAACGTTAAAAATGGTATGCACTCCACACAGCTCAAAAAACAAAAACAAACTGAAGTCAATTCTTAAAACTTAGTTCCAAGACCAGTTTTATTTGTGCATGGTTGAGCATGACTCACCGTTGGTGGTGTAGCTGCCGATGAGGCGGATGATGTTGATGTGGGCTGGCAGCATCTTCATCACCTCCAGCTCGGACACAAACAGCCGACGCTCATTTTCTGTCGACTCAGCTGAAACAAACAGGACCCACATGACCTTATTAAATAATGTGTCAAGGAAGTGGCACCTTAACTGGAAATGCACGTGTCAAGCACCACAATCGGCCATTTCATATCTAGAGGGAGGGAAAGGAGTTTGGCTTCAAAGCAAATTAATCCATGAAGTAGATAAATGATTTCAATCTTTTGGTGGGGGGTAAAACTTGCTGGACACGCTATCCAGCCAACACTCACTGTTTTAGAATAGAAAATATCTTTTACGATATTTTCTGGAACAGAATAAAAAGTGTTGGGTCCCTTATTCAATTTGGATGATTCAACTCAAACAGCATTTCAGGTTGTCGTGTTGACTGACTGACTGATGTGGGTCATGGAGAATATTTTCTGAAAGTGTTTCCATATCATAAGTATCATATGTTAGGAACAAAAATGTATTATGTGAGCCTTTGGCGATATATTTTTACAATACTGAAACACACAAAGATAATAATCTCTAATATGTCTTTCTAAAAATGTTCTATGCTTGAAATGTTTTTCACTTAATATAGTAACTTTAGAAACTGCATATGAGTGAGTGAATATGGTTTTTTGCCACTTTGAGCAATATTCTAGCAATATCACGCTGGATGAAATGAGCTTCACACATTGTACCCATGTGGGGAATGGATCCCAGGTTGTTGGCGTGACAAGTGAACACTTTTACCACAAGACTACCCCACTGTTCCAGACCATGTATGAATACAATGTTTGAGTGACCTGCGCCCCATTCATCATATAGTGCCAAATGATGAGCTGTCAGGTTTGTCCACAGACACATTGTGACACATTGGGAAACCCCGATTTAAACTCTTTGGCAAAATCACACAACTTCTCAATCAAACAGACAATGCATCTATGAAAGAAGCTTAAAAGTAGTTCCTGCCAGGTGATCTCATTTGCATACTTATCGGATCGTGATACCAATTTTATTGGATAGGTTTATTGAGCTGATATCACTGTCCATTTCATGATGAAATCATGTATTCGATAGTCTATACATGCTGCACACCCATGAAGATCTGAGTTAAATTAGCAGCAACTCATGCTTGACATAAAAGGAGCTTTGGCATGTCGTAAGAGGCAACTAACCGGTGGTCAAGCTCAGTAACTTGGTTGATGCATGTCATCGTATATGAATTTCTCCTGATGTCAATCACTGGATTGTCTGGTCTAGTGTGGACCAGACAATCCTGTGACTGACACTGTGGGCACCAAGTCATGTCTTTGGGGTACGGTGACATGCCATCAACCAGCCAAACCACCTGACAAAATTGTCGGCTCTTGCGATCAGCATAGGTTGCAGGGGACCAATTCCACCCTGGAATCCCAACTGGAGACACTTGGATTCAACACACAAGCAAATCTATGACAATGTAGAGTCAAGGGTATTAAAATAAAATGGAGATTTAATACCCTTGATAATTGAGGATGATACCCATATTTCTCACTTACAGATGAGCTTCTTGATAGCGACTCGCATGATGTCGTTAGTGCCGGGCTGTTTGCGCATCCTGCCCTTCCACACCTCCACATACGACCCCTTCCCGATCTGCTCCACAAGGCGGATGTCTCGCCGGGGAATTTCCCACGACATCCGCAGCTTAGAGTACTCTGACGGCTGGTGGAAAAAATCATAAAAAGTCGTTACTCTTTTATATTAGGAGGGACTGATAGGGAGGTGGTTAGAAGGGTGGATTGAAAGGGAGGTGGTTAGAAGGATGGATTGATGGGGTGGTTGTTAGAAGAATGGATTGAAAGGGAGGTAGTTAGGATGGATTGATGGGGAGGTGGTTAGAAGGATGGATGGATGGGGAGGTAGTTAGAAGGATGGATTAATGGGGAGGTGGTTAGAAGGGTGGATTGATGGGGAGGTGGCTAGAAGGATGAATGGATGGGGAGGTGGTTAGAAGGGTGGATTGATGGGGAGGTGGTTAGAAGAATGGATTGATAGGGAGGTAGTTAGAAGGATGGATTGATGGGGAGGTTGTTAGAAGGATGGATGGATGGGGAGGTGGTTAGAAGAATGGATTGATGGGGAGGTGGTTAGAAGAATGGATTGATAGGGAGGTTCTGCTCACCATGTACTCGGGCTGGTGTTGGAGACTCTCGTCAAGAAGCTCCACTTCCTGGTCATCCAGCATCTCATCATGGCCGCGCGATATCTTCTCTCGCATCTTACGCTCACGTTTCTGCATGAAAATCACTTGTGAATTATACAGTTTTCAGAAATGTGACTTAGAGCAAAACAAGTGCACCAGGTGCACAGTCAAGTAATGTGACGGAACATTTCGTGTCATCCTCCCATTCTTTCCATCCAGCCAAACTCATCATTCATCTTTCTATCTATCCACCCACCAACAAATCTAGTGTTCTTTCCATCCATTCATCCACCTATTCTAACCATGCATCCACCCATTCAACCATCTTATCCTATCCACCATCAACACACCCACCCAACCATCTTACCATCCCATCCACCATCAACAAACCCACCCATCTTACCATGAACCCTTCTTAGCATAAACCCAACAATCTCACCATCCCATCCACCATCAACAAACCCACACATCCTTCTTACCATGAACCCTTCTTAGCATAAACCCAACAATCTCACCATCCCAACCACCATCAACAAACCAACCCTTCTTACCATTAACCCTTCTTAGCATAAACCCAACAATCTCACCATCCCATCCACCATCAACAAACCCACACATCCTTCTAACCATGAACCCAACAATCTCACCATCCCATCCACCATCAACAAACCCACCCATCCTTCTTACCATGAACCCAACAATCTCACCATCCCATCCACCATCAACAAACCCACACATCCTTCTAACCATAAACCCAACAATCTCACCATCCCAACCACCATCAACAAACCAACCCTTCTTACCATGAACCCTTCTTACCATGAACCCTTCTTAGCATAAACCCAACAATCTCACCATCCCATCCACCATCAACAAACCCACACATCCTTCTTACCATGAACCCAACAATCTCACCATCCCATCCACCATCAACAAACCCACACATCCTTCTAACCATGAACCCAACAATCTCACCATCCCATCCACCGTCAACAAACCCACCCATCCTTCTTACCATGAACCCAACAATCTCACCATCCCATCCACCATCAACACACCCACCCACCCTTCTTACCATGAACCCAACAATCTCACCATCCCATCCACCATCAACAAACCCACCCATCCTCCTAACCATGAACCCAACAATCTCACCATCCCATCCACCATCAACACACCCACCCATCCTTCTTACCATGAACCCAACAATCTTACCATCCAATCCATCAATACTCCCACCCATCCTTCTTACCTTCCACCATCCTTCTTACCATCCAGGGGCGGTCGGGTAGCCTAGTGGTTAAAGCGTTCGCTCGTCACGCAGAAGACCCGGGTTCGATTCCCGACATTGGTACAATGTGTGAAGCCCATTTCTGGTGTCCCCCGCCGTGATATTGCTGGAATATTGCTAAAAGCAGTGTAAAACCATACTCACTCACTCACTCACTCTTACCATCCATTGATCCTTCTTACCCTACACCAATCCACCTCCTCACATCCATCTACCATCCTTCTTACCCTGCACCCATTGACCTCCTTGTTACCTTCCATCCATTCCCCCGCCCCCCCCCTCCCCAATTCATCCTTCTTCTCAGCAATGCAACCACCATCCCGTTCAATGCCTTAAGTGGCCCATATATCAAATCCACCTTCCCATCAATCCCTCCATTCACCCGCCCATCCATCCATCCATTTCCCTACCCTCACCTTCATCCTCATGGCAAGGGCAACAAAGACTATGATGAGGAGGATGGCAAGACCAGCACTGATGAGGGCGCCGATGGCGTATGGAGAGACTGAAACAGCAATATTCATATAACCCTTTTCTCACAAATTCCATCACAACAGTGTATTACAATACATAACTCGACTCCGAATATAATTTCAACCCTTCTCAGGAGAGGGTGAATCTTTCAATACTACCGCTGAACAAACTTAAGAAAAATCAGTGCGAGTACAGTGCTTAAGTACCGTAGGTATTCGTCATGAAACAAAAGAATCCACTTCCGTTTGTTTGTTTGTTTGTTGTTCAACTCAGGACTGAGCAATATTCCAGCTATATGATGGCGGTCTGTAACTAATCGAGTCTGGACCAGACAATCCAGTGATTGATGTCATGAGCATCCATCCACTTAATTGGGATACGATGACATGCATCAACCAAGCCAGCAAGCCTGACCAGCTGATCCTGTGAGCCACCTCTCACGATACCATGGCCACTTGTTACAGAAAGCATGGGTTGTTGAAGACCTAATCTAACAGGGATCTTCACTGGTGTTTCCATTGGTGACGTGACCCGTGAAGATTCTGGGGTAGAATAGGTGTTCAGCAACCCATGCTTGCCGTAAAAGGTGACTTGGTTGATGCATGTCATCGATCCCATTTGCGTGGATTGATGCTCATGATATCAATCACTGTATTGTCTGGTCCAGACTCGATTATTTACAGACCACCGTCATATAGCTGGAATATTGCTGAGTGCGGCGTTAAACAACAAAACAACCAACAAACAAACTATTGGTGACGTGGAATGGGGTTTAACGTCATGTTCAAGATAATTGCACTCATATAGTTACATGCCTGCACACACATTTGTGTGTGTGTGATTGTGTTTGTGTTTGTGTGTGTGTGTGTCCAGAACAATGTCACTCTAATAGTGCTAGCCCACAGTTTAACATGAATACCCCACTCAGACACAAGAAACTGACTCTGAGCTGATCAGTCACTGTATCATCCCCTTCAATGCCGAGCATCAGGCAGGGTAATGACAAGTACCATCTTTTAACATCCTTTGGTATGATACGGCCGGTGATCGAACCACCGACCTTCCGCTCTCCGGGAAGGTGCTCTATACATTAGACCACTTCCACTGACCAGGGGACTGTGGTAGAGTGTGACGAGGTGCACATAAGAGGTCATGACTTTGACCATGCACTGTTGCAGCATCTTCCTGAGGCAAGGGTGTTAACTGACTATAAAAGTCCAGTTTCCATCCTTGCTAACCTAGGCTGGAATTTCTGGGCTCGATCGTAGTGCAACCAGTGGTTATTATGAGTTATCTCGCTTCTTTGGCCCTCCTACTGACCAATCAGATTCCATCTCACACATCACTTGCATTTGCTTCAAACAAAATGATAGCGCCCAGTCAAGACAATTTGATTGATATTCAAAATCTATATTGCGATAAAATGGGTCTTACTTCGTTAACTGAGCACCTTCAATAAAAACATGAAAAGATCTGAAAAATATCTCTTCATGCCGATTTGGCGGAACACATGCTTTGCAAATCCTGCAATCAACCAAAATCAGCACAACAGTTCACGAACAAGATGTTGACCAGATTTTGATTGGACTGGTTAGTCCAGCCAAAAAATGACTCTACAATCCCAGCCTGGTTGGGCAAGGGTGGAAACTGGACTCTACAGTCAGCTAACTCCCTTTCCTCAGGAAGATGGTGTAGGAGATGACCAAACCAACCCTGATCATGCAGGTTCTATTCTCAGGTTCTGATGTTTCTTAAGTTAGTTCAGCAGTTGGTCAAGGAATACACCACACCTTGTTTTATGGATAACAATTTCCTTATTCTTATTCATAAAAACAGTTTCATGTATTCATGTTCGACTTCTAAAGGCCTCTTGAAAACTGGACTTGGGCCATAAAAAAAATAACAAAAGCACATCACATGAGTTGAATATGATGGAAAAAATGGAAGTTAAACTCTGGTAAAGTAACATATGTCTAATGACTACAACTATATGCATGCTTGAATTGTTTGTGGGTATTGAGCTATGGAAGTGAAAACAGGAACAGGTCAAATTCGACAAAGCGACAAAGCTTTCATGAAACAGAGGTGAGGTTGAAAGGCATGCAATTTTCATTTTTTGTCAATTTATCTGTTAAACCAAACTTTCAAAACTTTCAGAACAGTCCTTTGATCCCTGAACATATGTCAGACAAAATATTGAATTGTTTAGGGAAAAAATTATTTTACTCGTAATTCGAAGGAACACATGTGGAATCTCTTTTGTTTCAATTGTAGTTTTTCTGAATATCAAAATCACTTTAGAAAAGTATCATTTTGCAATTTGATTTAATTTTTATTTCCTGTGTATTTGGAAAATAAAATACAAACAAGTGATAAAAATAAACAGCCCTTGATTTAAAAACACAAACAGGAACACCAGTCTCGGGTTATCTGAATGCTACTTCCTTTTTCTCTGAAGACTGGAAATTTTGATCATAATCTTTTATGATATTTGTGATTTTAAACATAAACATTACATAACTATACGATACAATGACAAAATTTACTTCCTGAAATATGTACAAGAACCAACAATTCTTACACCCCATGCTCCAATGTTTCTTCCTCAACAACTTGAATAACTTCCAAATTAAATGCAGAAATTAAACTTCAAAATAGAAAATAAATTCACTGTTACACTGTCTAATTTCATTGGAAACAATCTAAACGCTACATAATTTAATAAATAACTTAATAATCAGAACTTGAATCATGAACACCTTTGGCAAAGAAACACAGCATTGATAAGGGGAGATAATTACAAAATATCGTGAGTTATATCCCTTGGATCACCGTATCTCCAGTTCCTAACAGCGATAGCCTTTTTGTTGACCTCTCTATATTATTGCTTGCCATTGTGATAAGCGACCACAACTATGCATAGTATTGAATTCAAAACCGACTGACCGTTATGTTTACAATCAAGTTAAGAATAAAGAAGGAATAGGCAGGGACCAAGCTTTTACTTCAACACTTGGTGTTTGACTGTACCATTGTTAGATTTTTAATTGTCCTCAGCACAAGTTATGGTAGCCATGGATTGTTGAATTGTTAAAGTCTGGTACAACACTTGCTGTCTGTTTGCCAGGCTTTAGTAGAGATAAACATTTGAATAGTTCCAGGTTAGGGTGACTACTGTCGTCTATTTATCTGTATTGGTGGTCTGTTGTGCTCTAACCAGCCAATAAACACAAATGTGAAATAGTTTTAGGGTGGCCCTGTGGGAGTTCAGCAGCCTAGATACGGAGGGTGTAGTCAGATTCGGCGATATAGTTCATAGCATGTCATCATATTAAAATTTGGATTCAAACCTCTTTACCAAAGTACGATGAAGTATATGAAGCGTTAGTTCAGTGGTCCAGGGGGTTCTGAGGAGACAATATTTTCAGGCTGACGGATGCCACACTAGAGAGCTCACATGACTTCTTGTAAGGTGAGCTAAAAATGTATGCCTCCTTTTTTGGATTAAGCAGCAGCTGGAATAAGTGCTTGATGGCTACCTTTAGTTATGTGGTGATATCAGGGCTTTATGGTTTCAGGGAAGACTATAGAGATGCTGACATCTGACGGACGACCATGATTTAAGCTCACTTGACGGAAAGTCAGGTGAGCTAATAACCAGTGACATAACACAGTGTACTCATTGTCATGAATAAAATAAAGGTTCCAACACCAAGGCATGCCGTGACTAATAAAACCAAGGCAAAGTTTGTTGTAAGCCCAGACTTTTTTATTGGTTTACAAATTTGTTTGAAAAAAAAGTATTGTTGAAAGGTGTCACAAAAGTCAAAAAGAATTTTTTTTCAAATGTTTCTATGTGATAACTGTGTTTGCCAATCAGGGAAAGTGAAAGGTGTCACTAAAGTAAAAACAGAATTTTTTCAAATGTTTCTATTTGAAGTCTGTGTAGGCCCATCAGGGTAACACATTGTACATCTACACACATCAATATATTTATTACTAGGCATCAGCAGAACAAAAACACGTTTTTCAGATCTTTTCCCCATTTGGTGTAGGAAAATCTGTAAACCAATTAAAAAAAATTTCGCCCAACAAATATGTGGAGGAACTAAAGAGGAACGTAAATTCAACAAAAGGAAAGCAAACTTACAAATAGAGCGAAACCTGCGTGAGTGGTGAGGGAAGCCCTCCCGCTCTATGTAAGTCACATTAGCTGGAAGAAGGAGTTGTGCAGAAGCATTAGATAAAGAAGGAATCAGAAGGAATCAACAGAAGTCATAAACAAAACATACAATTCAAATTTCAGACCAATGAACACTCAGAATACAATAGTCAATACCTTTTGTGCAACACACGGGTTCATTTCATCTCTTGATGTAATGTAGACATTTGTTACCATGACAACGCATGTCGGCCATTTGCATTCCTGGTTATGGAGAAGCGCAGTGCACACACACCAGTCAAGTACAGATCTAGTATAGACTATGGGTCTGTGTATGGCAAACCAGGTCATCATATAGAGACTCAATCACTTGATGACAGACCCATTAAGATTACCGTATTTGCCATAATAAGTGCCCTAGGCCTATAACATACACAACAGGTCTTGTTTTCTTAAACTGAACAGTTGTAAACAAACTTAGTTCAATTGTTTAATGAAACTATACCTTTCTCCATAATAGCTACTCGTCTATTATATCCCCTTCTCCAAGGAGATAACTCCACAATAAAATTACATCACAATTGTATGCTTTGTTGGCCATTGGGATGTCATCTGTTACCGTGACATCACAATCAAATTACATCACTAAACTCTCTGCCACTGTAGCTGGAGTTTTAAACTGTTATCAACTCATCTTGATATATTTGGTATGAAAAGAAATTGTGAGACTCTAGAAATATACTGATATACAATATTATTTTTAACGTTAAACATTATAGGGCACAATACAAACAATTTGTTTAACTTTGACCTTTATCGTTAGGGGAATATGTTTGCAAAGATATTTGTAAATCACCACAAAGAAAAAAGGTGAGTGAGTTGGGTATGTCGGCTTTATATACACAGTGTGGGAGAGCCCCGTGTGACTCAGGTTTGGACATATTACACGTCAAATAATATTGCAAATAATATCTTTACTCTTTAAAATATAAATATTATTACTTGGTATAAAGACACATAACTGCAATCACAACTTACATACAGCCACATAGAATAACACTTTGACATATAAAAACATTAAACTCAAATCTAAATCCATCCTCAAAATATCAATATTTGAAAAACTGTTACCATGGTTACAAGGAGAAAACATAATATTACATAAAGAACTATACAGTGTGGGATTGTGAATAGCTTATGGAAACACATGAATTCAACTAACTTCATGACATGCAATTTTATAGAAAAAACTGAAAAATACACATTATTTTTAAGATAATGGAGGGTTGATTTTTTTAAACCAGCCTAATGTTGGAAGTGTCTATCATATCCAAGTCACACAACACTCCAAAGATACATAAAACTGTTGTGGATCTCTGTGCTAACACTTTCATGTGCTGTCAATATATACTCACCACCAAAAGGAACATGAATACATACATGTTGGTTAATATGTGAAGAATTATTCATATTCAAGAGATATTAGATACACAAACCAACATACTGTTATGTTGCGTGACCAGACGCTCATGAACGCATCCCATGTGACGTCGTAGCTCCTTGACTCAAGATTCACCATTTGTCTCGTGCAGGATTAACGTGTAAAGTTTGGAAATCATGTGCAGGCTATCGTGACAAGAATAAAGATACACTTCTATGGTTCGCGTTTCTGTGGGCGGTGAGTATATAATGTTTTTTCAAAACATTATCGTATATATTTTTTGTTAATTATTTATTCTTATTGCGTGTCACTGTGCCCCAATGACATGGATCATTGCTCATGATTTCAGTCACTGGTTTATTTGGCATAGACTTGGTTATTTACATGCCCTGGTGATAAAGATAGAGTATTGCTGAATGCGGCAATAAACAATATTCAATCACTTATGCATCAGTTGTGGGTACAAAATATGGAGGAGCTACAGGCCCATATAATTGTATGATGTTTTGTACACTGCCTAGGGCCACTTACAGGCAGAATGTAATGTGTTTTAAGGATAACTGTAGTCTTCCATAGATAATGTGTTTCAAGGGTAATAGTCTTACATTGATAATTTTAAGGGTAGTTGTTACATATATATTTTTAAAATGATATCATACATTTATATACCACACTTACCCAGGTACTAGTATCTGCTCAAATACGTTTTTTATTAGTTCCCGAACCAGTGAATCCGTTTGCTATCTAGTTATCATTCTCAACTCCCTGGGGACTATACAATAGTCTTACACTCATAATGTGTAGTAGTGCAGAGTTGCATCTCTTTGGCATGCCAGGCACTTATAATTGTAACTTCAAATGCCGGTCCACCACAATTATGTTTCTAGGTTTGTCATCACCATACCAATACTCACGGGTTCACCAAGTGGTCAAAGTCTGAGACCTGCATCACTTTGGGCTGCACATCCTCCCACTTTAGTCTAACATCCATAATGTGTCTTAAGGGCAATAGTCTGCCATCCATAATGTGTCTTTAGGGCAATAGTCTACATACATAATGTATCTTAAGGGCAATAGTCTACATACATAATGTATCTTAAGGGCAATAGTCTAACATACAAATTGTGCCTTAAGGGCAATAGTCTAACATACATAATGTATCTTAAGGGTAATAGTCTAACATCCATAATGTGTCTTAAGGGTAATAGTCTAACATACATAATGTGTCTTAAGGGTAATAGTCCTACATCCATAATGTGTTGTAAGGGTAATAGTCTAACATCCATAATGTGTCTTAAGGGTAATAGTCTATCATACATTATGTGTCTTAAGGGTAATAGTCTTACATCCATAATGTGTCAATGCTGAATGTAAATTTTGGATTCCGCAATATTCCAGCTAAATGTGTCTTAAGGGCAATAGTCTAACATACATAATGTGTCTTAAGGGCAATGGTCTAACATAAATAATGTATCTTAAGGGTAATAGTCTAACATACATAATGTGTCTTAAGGGTAATAGTCTAACATACATAATGTGTCTTAAGGGCAATAGTCTAACATACATAATGTGTCTTAAGGGCAATGGTCTAACATAAATAATGTATCTTAAGGGTAATAGTCTAACATACATAATGTGTCTTAAGGGCAATAGTCTAACATACATAATGTGTCTTAAGGGCAATGGTCTAACATAAATAATGTATCTTAAGGGTAATAGTCTAACATACATAATGTGTCTTAAGGGTAATAGTCTAACATACATAATGTTTCTTAAGGGTAATAGTCTTACATCCATAATGTGTTTTAAGGGTAATAGTCTAACATACATAATGTGTCTTAAGGGTAATAGTCTTACATCCATAATGTGTCTTAAGGGTAATAGTCTATCATACATTATGTGTCTTAAGGGTAATAGTCTTACATCCATAATGTGTCAATTGCTGAATGTAAATTTTGGATTCCGCAATATTCCAGCTGTATCACAGCGGGCGCTTACTATCCAATAAAATATCAAAATTATTTCTAAACATAAAGAAACATGCAGATGACAAAAGATAGCTCAAACAAATATAATCAAGCAAGCTTGGTGAAAAAATAACTATCCAAATACATAATCCTGGATAAAAATATTTTCATTTAAAAGAGGTCTTCATAAAAATATATTTAAAGGACAAAAAATGCTTTGATAGTGATACCTAAAATTGATCTCTTTCAAGATATTGTGCCAAGATTGTTCAGGTTTATTTCCATCAATGCTTTGATTCCGAAACCATAAAAAGAGCAAAAAAGCTTTTAATAAATCTTCCATAATGTTTAACAGTGGAACATGCAGATAATTACAGCCAAAAGAAAGTTCAGCTGCCATTGGATAGGGTTGCAAAGTTAAAAGCATTCAAGGCTCGGTTTGAAAGAGCTCAAATGGATTTTAAAATCAATGCTTGACGGGTCGAAGGAAATGATTTCCACTGGAAATTTGCCCAGGAAAATTGATTCGTCAAATTAACACGATTTAACGCCACATAAAGCTATCTCTTACTTTGTAAAGGTGACCTGTGATCTACAATCTTTGATATCTCCCGCTCGTCATGTTTGGCAATGGTGTATGCAGCGTTTTCACCTCCTTGGGCAAGGGCAGCACTTTCTGGAATGTCAATGTTATCAATAGCATCATCACAACTGGTTATATCATCATCATCATCATCGTCATCACCACCATGGGCAAGGGCAGCACTTTCTGGAATTATGTTATCAAAAGCATCATCACAACTGGCTATATCATCATCATCATCATCATCATCATCATCATCACCACCATGGGCAAGGGGAGCACCTTCTGGAATTATGTTATCAAAAGCATCATCACAACTGGCTATATCATCATCATCATCATCATCATCATCACCACCATGGGCAAGGGGAGCACCTTCTGGAATTATGTTATCAAAAGCATCATCACAACTGGCTATATCATCATCATCATCATCATCATCATCATCATCATCACCACCATGGGCAAGGGGAGCACCTTCTGGAATTATGTTATCAAAAGCATCATCACAACTGGCTATATCATCATCATCATCATCATCATCACCACCACCATGGGCAAGGGCAGCACTTTCTGGAATTATGTTATCAAAAGCATCATCACAACTGGCTATATCATCATCTTCACATATCAGGCAATATGCATGAACTTAAATCATTACACCTGATATCATCCTTCAAATGCAAACATCATAATCATCATCAGACATCAGACAAAATACTAACGATAAAGACGTTGCCTTGACATCATGATCATTATAGTAACCCCACTTTTCACAAAATCACCCAAACTTTATTACATTTTCATAGAAAATGGCCAAGTAAAGGCCTTAAGAAGTTTCAGCTTTGAGTATGTTTGAAGTGAAAAGGTCAAATGAAGGTCAGAATCGAAAATATCGCAAAAAAATGGAACGTTAATGTTGAGCCCCACTATGATCTACGCAGGTACCAAATTTCATTACATCCTGAACTAATATGGCTGAGTAATGGCCACAAATAGGTTTTTCAATATGGCTGCTGTGGCGGACACATTGAAAATTGGACTAGAAGCTCCTCAACAAGTTGGGGTGTTGTCATTGGTGGACCCAGGTATGTGAAGTTTTAGCTTTACTGGTTTCTGAGGTACTCGAGATGTTCACGATGCACAACCAGGCCACGTGTCCAAGAGTATCAGTTCCTGTAGGAAAAACCGTTGCTTTGTACTTTCTATGGGAATTATTCCCATGGAACAGTTTTCACAATGGAAAAATTGTCCATGACCAGGGACCTTGTCCCCCCCCCCACCACCACCATTTCTTGATGTGTTTTAGGTCCGGTATGTCTTCCCTAACCCTATAAACCCTAATGCTGATAAATAAATGACACCTGAATACACATATCAAGGCTGTAGTTAACATTTTATGACAGGGGGCAAATAAGATTATTCATTTTTTATTCAAGTTAACGTTCACAAGGAAAAATATTTTTTATAAAAACACCCCGGCTGGCTACGGCATTGCATATTGATTTCTTTGATTCACTGAGAAGTTGTTCCACATGCATATATAAATATGCTCACTGTCACTGGTCGAGATACATTTGGACCCGCAATATTTGTTCTGGATGGAACTAACACCATGTGGAACAGGTCATCGCTGACACCCACACAAACCTCACTTGACAATGGGTCAGGTGAGCTAAGTATTTCGAGAGACAGACAGACATCGTGCAGTCACTAACTCCTTTAGGTCTTGCATAAGGAAAGTAAAACTTTTATCAAGCCTTGTCGCACTGGTCTAATAAACAACTTTTTACTCATTTCCTATTTCCTGATCTGAGAGTGATCTTTGGCTAACACCACTTTGTACAGTATTCCAGTCATATCGCGGCATGTGAGCTTAATGTGGGTGGAAAGCCTGAAGTGATGCAGGTCTTGGACCTTGACCACAATGGTGAAACCCATGAGCATGGGTATTGTGCTGACAAACCTAGAAACATAATATGGGCAAACAAGGATTCAAGTGCACCATCGTGAAGAAATTGACTACAAGACCTTTCCCTTCCTGTATTATATTAGTATAAGATACATATAGCTGTCACCCGTGAAGATCCAGGGTAGAATAGGTCTTCAGCAACCCATGCTTGCCGTTAAAGGCGACTATGCTTGTCGTAAGAGGCGACTAATAGGATCGGGTGGTCAGGCTCACTGATGTGGTTGATGCTTGTCATCGACCCCAATTGCGTGGATCGATGCTCATGATGTCAATCACTGGATTGTCTGGTTATGACTTGATTATTTACAGACTGCCATCATATAGCTGGAATATTGCTAAGTGCAGCGTTAAACAACAAAAAAACAAAATAAACATATAGCTGTTACTAAAATGAGCCTAGAGTTCTATGTACCTTTGATTTTAAAAATATGAAAAAAAAATTCTTGGAGGGGCAATTAGAAGTACAAAGTAAGGATAGTATATATATGGATGAACAAGTATTGTAATTAAGTAGTGGTTCATCCATAAAAAAAACAGTAACGGTGGAAAAAAAAAGAGTCTTGGTTCATAATTGGATTTTTCTTACCATCTATAGTAACATTGATATCCAGACTGTCATTATATGAGATGCCATCTATATCGTTGACTGCTGCACATCTGTAGGTTCCCTGGTCGCGAGGCTTGAAGTGGTTGATGTTGTAGAAGGAGTTGCTGGAGAGGCGGACAAAGCCTGTGATGTTGTCACGGGGGGCGAAGGACCAGGAGTAGTGGGGGGAGGGGTAGCCTTTGGCCAGGCAGTGCAGCTCCACGGCCGCTCCCAGCTTGTACACGCTGGTTGTCACATGGGGCAGCGACCATACCTGCGACACCTTCACCGGCACTGCAAATAAAAGTCAAATAACAGCCTTAGAAATGTGAATTTTAATGACTAATTGAGAGGACTATTGGGAACTGATTTCATGAATAATATTTGGAAAAGCACAAGAAGGGTAAATTAAAGAGAGAATGTTTTACCAGCTGGTCAACTAGTGTTGAAAAGAACTGGCTTTCAAAGTATCTCACCAGCTTACTACATGCAGGTACATGCAGCCTCAGAAATTCATTTTGCTTACGATTAGTCCAAAACCTTATTTCACTTGTTCTCAGAGTTTGTAGCTAGTCCTTCTTAAACAAGACAGAAATATTTAGTATTTTTACATTTTCAGTCAGTAACAACAAGCACCATCTCTTAACATCTTTTGGTACGATGCAGCTGGGGATCAAACCCCCGACCTTCCATTCTCCGCGCGGACACTCTTCCACTAGACCAGGGAGGCAGTCACATGAACTTTGAAGGGTGGAAGAGGTATGATAGTGAATGTCCCCAGTGAGTTGATTCATGTACCAAGTCATGGTTGATTGGGTTTATATCCGACTTTGTGTCACAGTCTGCTGCCAGTTCCCTCTCTAAGTCTTGACCTTGTACTTTAAGCGAGACTGAGGCAGGACATGTTTGCCCTTTGGGGAACATCTGGTTTCATTACACAATTTCAGTGATCTATTCACATATTGTTTTAACACTATTCTGCCTTATAACATCCTCTCTGTTTTGGCAGAAAGTAGAGACTGATTATTCACTGGCAGCTAGGGCATTCTCACCCTCTGAATGCACATCTGGTTTCATCACTGATTTTCAGTGATCCATTCACATATTTTTTGCATCACTATTTTGCCTTTCGTGCCCAATCTGTTCTCACAGATATTATTCTCTGGCATTGACGTTTCTCACTCTCTGTAACTGGGGTAATCCTCTACTGTAAGATTCAGACACAAACTACATCCGCAGCAGCTGCTGGACAAATCAGTGTCAGAATGACCTCTATTCTATTCAATGGGACTGCCAATTTGCCGGAGTGAAGGCCTTCCTTGAAGTACTTGTGTCATGGTAGCTGTATTTATCCTTTGATTTCGGCTGTACAAGAACTGTCCAACACCTACAGCGGTGGATTCCTTTTGTGAACAGCATGTCCTATTTACATTTATAGCACACCACAGATTGAATGACAAGATGTGAACATAAACTTCGAAACACCACACTGGCTTTATGGCATGCCAAACCAGTCAAGACGGTGAAGTATAAGTGAATTGCGGACTTAAAATGTACAGCCAACTCATCTAAACACATTCCAAAGTTTTAAACTATACTGAACAACAAAGGTTCCTGACATTGAATAAGATTTAATGCAAAGTTATGTTTTTTACCAAATCTGAAACAATTTCGGATTGCAACAGACAAAAGACTCCTGTAAGTGTTCAAATGGTTTAATTTGCCATGCTGACTTCAGAAAATGTGTGATTTCATAAAAAACATGAACATGCCAAAATGTCAATTTACAAATCAATAGCGTGTGTGTCCACCTCTGGTTGCGATGCAAAACACATCTTCGTCTCATGGAATGGACCAGGCATCGCACAAAGTCCTGTGGGATATCTGCTGGAGCATGTTTCGAAGTTCCTTGAGTGTCAGTGGAACAAGTGGTTGATGTCGAAGGCGCTGATCCATCTCATCCCACATGTGCTCGATTGGTGAGAGATCAGGGGAGCGAGCCGGCCAGGGGATGACATTCACATTGTTTTGTTGAAGAGAATCCTGAACAAGTCGAGCAATATGAGGCCAGGCGTTGTCATGTTGAAAGGTAATGCCTGGGCCATGACGACGCAAAATGTTAGAACAACAGGGTCGATGATCTCGTCGTGGCAGCGCTGTCCATTGAGATTTCCCTCTACCACTATCAAAGGGGTCCTCTGTCTTGCTGTTATCCCATCCCATACCATAACGCTGCCGCCCCCAAACCGATGTTCTTCCATGACCAAATGATTGACGTAACTTTCACCTCGACGTTGGTACAATTGAATCCGTCCATCGCTGTGGCTGAGGTGAAAACGAGACTTGTCAGTGAATAGAACTTGTCCCCACTGCATGGCCAGCCGGGTGTCCAGCATAGACGCTGTCTGCACCACTGTAGACGTGCTTGTCACTGGTTTCCTGTTAAAATGGGACAACTGGCGGGTCTTCTGGCGACAATCCCTGCACATCTGAGGCGACGACGTATGGTTTGTGAAGATATTCGTCAAAGGCCAGGGATGCTTCTTGCAGTCACTACTGCTGGCTGGAATCGATTTCTTAGGTGTGTTGTTCAAATCCAGTTGTCTTGTCGATTATTGGTTACGCTTGGCCTGCCACTCTGAGGATGGTCTCTGACTGCATTCGTCTGTTGCCAACGTTGCCATAAACACCAAATGGTGTTTCTGTGGACGTTAAATTGTCTTGCAACATCACGTTGACTCGATCCTGCTTCAAGCATACCAATGGCTTGCAGACGCTCATTTTGGGACAGGCGTGGCATTTCGTAATGTTGAATAATTGCGTAATTTTGTTGTTTTTCTGAGTGGTTGTTGTCAGCACGATGCTAAACAATGCGTATGGAATTGCACATGTTTTTATACCCATTCTTGGGGAGTGAAATGCATGGGGCTTGCATAAAAGTCAACTTTTGCATTGAATGCATGCTTTTCTGTAGCAGTTGCATTTTTGTGACTTGATTCCATACATGTACTACAATATTAAAAACCAAACTTTACTTGTTTGAAAAATACACTAAAATATTGGTGTAACGGGAACTTTTGTTGTTGAGTATATTTAATTAACATTTCTACAAGTACCGGATCAAATACAGACATCATGTCTTGAAGCAGCCCTTGGTATACTCTGTTTGGATCATGGACCTTGAAGCAGCCCTGAGTATACTCTATTTTGATCATGGACCTTGTACTTGAAGCAGCCCTGGGTATACTCTATTTGGATCATGGACCTTGAAGCAGCCCTGAGTATATTCTTCTTTCCCAAGTAGCTGGCAACCATTATCGACAGAATCCTTGAAGAGACGGTGGCAAGCCTGAGAGTGATTCCTTGTAATTTGGTAGAGCCAGACAATGACTTCCGTATCCGTCACTATGTGCATGATGTAACCTAATCCTAGCAGACTGGGGGGCATCTCAATCAGAGTCAGAGCCACCAGGGTTCAGAGGGTTCACTGGATGAGTGAGTGAGTGAGTGAGTGAGTGAGTGAGTGAGTGAGTGAGTGAGTGAGTGAGTGAGTGAGTGAGTGAGTTTGGTTTTACGCCGCTTTTAGCAATATTCCAGCAAAAACACGGTGGGGGACACCAGAAATGGGCTTCACACATTGTACCCATGTCAGGATTCGAACCCGGGTCTTCGGCGTGACGAGCTACCGCTTTAACCACTAGGCTACCTGACCGCCCCTCACTGGATGGGAGGGACATCACAATCATGGTTATACCTTCACATAAGTTCTCTGGATGGGAGGGACATCACAATCATAGTTATACCTTCACATAAGTTCTCTGGATGGGAGGGACATCACAATCATGGTTATACCTTCACATAAGTTCTCTGGATGGGTGGGACATCACAATCATAGTTATACCTTCACATAAGTTCTCTGGATGGGAGGGACATCACAATCATAGTTATACCTTCACATAAGTTCTCTGGATGGGAGGGACATCACAATCATGGTTATACCTTCACATAAGTTCTCTGGATGGGAGGGACATCACAATCATGGTTATACCTTCACATAAGTTCTCTGGATGGGAGGGACATCACAATCATGGTTATACCTTTACATAAGTTCTCTGGATGGGAGGGACATCACAATCATGGTTATACCTTCACATAAGTTCTCTGGATGGGAGGGACATCACAATCATGGTTATACCTTCACATAAGTTCTCTGGATGGGAGGGACATCACAATCATAGTTATACCTTCACATAAGTTCATTAGAAAACAAGGATATACTGGGGCACTTCAAAATTAATCCAAATGCTTCAGAATGTGAATTTGGTTCAAAGCAGCTTAGAGAAGTATTTCCTGATATGGATTGTTAAGCTGATAGGATTACATAGTCAATATGTGCACGGCATGCAACTAAGTCCATGCCTTCAATATTTGAAGAGACTGTATATTAACCATGTCCTGTGCATCACCGTGTTCTGACAAAGACTAAAGGCTGGACTGTGTGTCATCATGTGTCAAAAGATTTTCAGTTTACACTTTTCCCATCTTCCCATTTGAAACACTTAATGATGTTTTTACAAACGACTGTTCTCAGCAAAGAGGAACTAGCATTTTCTATTACTGATGCATGCAAATGACAATTTGTTCCTGCCAACAGGGGTGGTGGGGTAGCCTAGTGGTTAAAGCATTCGCTCATCATGCTGAAGAGCCATGTGTGGTTCCCCAAAATGGGTACATTGCCGTGAAATGGCTGGAATATTTCTAAAAGTGGCATGAAACGTCACTCACTGACATTCTCCTGTCAACATTTGGTTTGAAACCACACATTCTTGATTTGGAGAGAAAATAAAGAAAATATATTTCAACAAACATCCACAGGAAAATCCTTAATTAGAATTGACATACATGTGGAGACGGTTGCCAGAAACTCCTAAAGATTGTAAAAATAATATAACAAACATTTAGAGAGGTCATAAAAAGTGGACAGAACTTTGACAGCCCAGAAAAACAATTTTTCGGAGGTCTTCACATTTTGTACACATTGTCCACTCCCCATCCTTTTGGGAGGGTCACAACAACATGACAAGAACTTACAGAGGTCATGTGTTTGGTCAAGTCATGTCGCTGGTCATCACCATCACGAGAGAGGCTCTCATATGGTCCACTCCTCATCAATTCTAAAACTGATGCTTACTATTATTGTGGCACGCAGTCCTGTGAACAACACGAAGGTTGGCCCTGGTTAGTCCTTCTCTCACTCAACACACCACTCACAGTTCATGTCAAATCCCAGCCATCCGTAAACACACTGCTTCCTCTCTAATTTTCCAATCTCCCCCTGAGCTTCCGCTCACGCATGCGCACACGTAGTCAAGTTCAGAGGTCACTTCCAGTACGCTCGAACTTAAATATACCACACAATGTGGTTAGGACTGTCATAGTATCATTTGGCTCCTGACAGTTTCTAGGGCTTCGGTTCTGCCCACACTGAAGCAAATGTGGCATCTCCTTAGACAAGTGACTTTTGTTTGAAATGTGCCTCTGTTCACCCACTCTGGATACCCGGTCGGATGAGATGGTATTGTGGCTTTCAACCTTCTAATGCCCAACTGCAGCTTGTGTTGTATACTCCCCAGGGAGTTGAGAAAGAAAATGCACACTGATCCATTGACCAGGGTAAAAAAGCATGCTTCAATGAATGGACTATGGTGCATTAGAAATATCCATTTATTATTGTTATTGACTCACCGTATATCTTCATGGCAGGCAGGGCTTGACACACCACATTCAGCAAGTTCTGGGGGTAGGCGACGTGGCAGTTGTAGATGTGGCCATTCATGTCGCTGTTTGCCACCATCCGGAGACTTGCTCGCATGCTAGTGGCATTCTGCAACGTCTTCGTTGAGTTTAAATCTTGGTCGCCATGTTTCCAGTAGAGGAGCGGAGCCTTGGCTCCGGCAAAGGTCACAGAGCAGTCCAGGGTGATGTTCTGCTTGTATTGGGTTTCGGGGTTTTCATTTCGACATGATGGCATCTCTGGAACACAGGAAATATGTTACATGGTAACACTATACAATACTGACCATTAAATATTTTGTGGGGCCCAGGATATTATGTTTCAGTCCCTAGTTCACTTTTCGACAAGTTTGATTTTATGATGCTTTTAGCAATCTTCCAGCAATACCAATTAAGGTGGGGGGACACCAGAAATGGGCTTCACACATTTTACCCATGTGGGGTCTTCGGTGTGATAAGCAAATGCTTTAACCACAAGGCTACCCCACCCCTTCTCTAAAAGAATGGAACAAATTTCCAAAACATATTATTCAGGACAGCTAGTGACCCATCTCTGTTATCAGGAAATTACATATCTCCAGTCTGGTGCAATTAGGAAATACCCCCACTTTTGGATCATTGCCATTATCCCAAGGCAAACCCCCGAATACCAAATGGTCAGTCCCTTTGTCAAAAGTCTGCCCAGAGAATGGAGGTCAGTGGTTCAATTCCCTGCTGGCCTTATTGTCAGGTCTGGGGTATTTGCTTCATCTTGATAGCTGAGGACATTGGCGAGATGTCACTTTTCAAGCAAGACATGAAGAGGCTAAGCTTAGGTCTCAGAGACAATCTGATTTCTTTTCACAAGTTTTCAAATGTTTGCCAAATATTTATGCTGGAAAGCTGACAGAATGAGTTGGATTTATTGCTGCTGTTTTTCAGTCTGTCATGGTGTGTAAACGTTGTATGTGTAGGAAGGCCTACAGTAGGAAAGTGATACATTATAAGGATGAAAATCTGGGATTTGCCCTGGGCAATGGATCCTGGTTCAACCTTGGAACAACACTCTGTACAGCACAAAACTGCACCTTAGGTCAATGGGTTCAATTCCCAATACAGGTACAATGTACACTCACTCACTCACTCACTCACTCACTCACTCACTCACTCACTCACCCAACCATCCATCCATCCACACAGCCACCTGCTCACACGTACACGTACACACACACACACACACACTCACTCATGCATTCAACCACAGAAAACCAACACACACAAGTGCCTGCTCACTCACACCCACTCAATCCCCACCCACTCACTCACTCACTCACCCAACCATTCACTCACTCCACAAAAAGCTGACATCCATGAAACATTGCTCCTAACAAACAAGATGTATAAACCTCAGTGCTCTTTTCACAAATAGCTTGTGCAATGAATAGTAAAAAGCACCCATTATCATAAATAGCAGATAACAAGAACCGGACGATGAACTTTAACTTTCTTTGATGTTGGCGGATCCCAATGAACATGCACTCTATCTCCCACATCAACAGAATCGATTTCCCATCAACTGTGCAACACTGAGGTACGCCAACAGACAACAAATGCATCTTCCATACACTCTTCGGACGGTCCACTGAAGGTACAGTGTAACCGTAACTGAGGAATAATTCCTATTCCATTTGTTTCGTGAAGTGCTCATCTACATCCCGCCTCCTGTGATGTCTCCATCTGCCTCAGTTGTTCCCTCCCGCTGGTCTTCCCTTGAGAGACACCATAGCTGGGATCATCCGTGCAAAGTAGCAGAACAAGTTAACAAAAGACAGAAGGACAGATGGACGAACAGACAGATGGACAGACAGATTGGCAGAAAGAAAGACAGATGAACAGACAGATAGATGGACAGACAAACAGATAGATTGGCAGAAAGAAAGACAGATGGACAGACAGACAGACAAACAGATAGATAGATTGGCAGAAAGAAAGACAGATGGACAGACAGACAAACAGATAGTTAGATTGGCAGAAAGAAAGACAGATGGACAGACAGAGAGATGGACAGACAGATAGATTGGCAGAAAGAAAGACTGATGGACAGAGACAACTTGGCAGAAAGAAAGACATACGAACAGACAGCCAAACAGATAGATGGACAAACAGATGACAGACAGAAGGACAATTAAAATAACTGAAATCTATGATCAATGGCCAGAAAAGGTCAAGGTACCCTTATTAAACTGATTCCAAAGTTCCAGCAGTAACAAACTGTGGTAAAATCTGCACCATTTCCAGGTTCATGAACGGTTGCCAGGATCACATGGCAACTGTCCTTTACTAACTCTGGGAACATGGCAACATTTCACTAAAAACTCAAAATGACAACTCTGTATTAATAATTACACTTCATCTGGAACAAAAAGACTTTCTCATTTGTCATTTGTCTAAATCTTCCTGTTAAGCATTTCATCTTTCAGAAAATAACAACAGACTTTAACGTACCTTCTCCAGTTACATGCTCAACCATCCATCATGCACTACCTTAAAACACAACATATTCCAATAGGTGCAACCAAAAGTCGAGTTCTCTCAGTGTATTTTAGTTACTTCAAGACAAATCTAATAATGTGGCAAAAACAGAACTAGCTACTGGTTCTAAAGATCTTGTTACTGTCTGTGGCCTGCACATGATTAATTGACTGTCATACCCAACACAGGCAGCTCTACCAACAGGGTCCAGGCCTGCAAGGAGTTACCTGGACAGCCTTTGAAATTCATGCTAGTCAGCAAGCCAGAGACTACTAAATTGTGCTGAGGACAAGTAAGAATCCTCATTGACTAGTAGAATTTGAGGGCCATAATTCTGAATCATTTCTTATTACAACAAATTAGAATTGCATAAATAATATGTGTAACAAAGTAAACATGTTTGTCTTGTTCAAGCAGGACAAGCTCCCAACTCTGTGGACTAGAAAAAATGGGAATTTTAAAGTTAAATTGCAGAAAATCAACCACTAGATCTTTGAGAATTAGGATAGAAATGTCAAAATTTAACAAGCAATCTATAATTGTCATAAATGTAATGACAACAGGACTCAAAGTGTTAATCGTTGGCGTCCGTATTAAATATGAATGTGTTAAGTATTCAATATCTTGTGTCCAGTAAAACCCTGGCATGTCGACGTGTCCCTCTTGAAACACTAGGCTACCCAACAACTGGGGATCAAACATACATGAAGGTCGTGCGTGAGCTGAAATGGGGTTCAAGATTATAACACTTATAGCGACATGCATGCATGTGTATCTGTGTGACTGCTTGTACTAGTCTGCACTTATGTTGGTTTTATAGTCCTAGCCCACTGAGATACCACGCTGCGGTTTAACCTCACTCAGACATGGTATACTTCGAGCCGATCAGCCCTTGTGTCATGCCCTTGAGACTGTATGCCAGGCAGGGTAATAACATCTAACATCTTGGTCTGGCACGGCCGGGGACTGAACCACCGATCTTCTGTTCTCCAGGCAGACGCTCTAAGCACTAGACCAGGAGGCGGTCTAGCAGTGATAGAAGTAGCGTTCTATGAAGCATACAATCAGTGCATCACACAGACATCTAATACAAGAGAAAGGAGTTGATTCAAGTCTCCACAGTTTGAGTGCAGTAAAATCCTGTCAGTCCCTCTTGAATCACTAGGCTACCCCTCAACTGGGTATTAATCCTACAGGAAGGATATTGGCACTCCACCACTAGGTGAGTATTCTCCTTCTTCTGATGACTCTAACGACCTCTGATCCAGTTTTAAACCAAGACAACTTGAAACACATCTAAAAAATACAAATGCCCCGAAGCACATTTATCTGTCTGCAATTTAAGCCTCAGTCCACGCACTCAGTCAGCATTTTCAGTAATTAAGTGGCGATGGGGTCATTAGTGATGGGCTTCTTTGCAACTGTGTCTCATAGGTCTTACGAAAATGTGACATTGTCCTCGTAAATCAGTGCTGTCTACTTCTTTCTCCATGAAACCATCTCTTCCGTTTCAATCGGAGTCCCAAGAGATGACTCCTGAGGGGCATTCTAACTCCCGCACTGTTTGGAATTTCTTTTAAAACAACAATTTGTCCTCAAGTTTATTCCCAAAGAATGAAATTGTTCGTTGGACAAGCCAGAAAAAAGGTGTTGTGAAGGCTCCTTGCCAAAATAGATTTCTATCATACTAATGACAGGGGCAACTCATGGGGGCAACTGTTGGGGGCAACTGTTGGGGGCATCTGTCGGGGGCATCTGTTGTGGGCATCTGTTGGGGGCATCTGTCGGGGCATCTGTTGTGGGCAACTGTTGGGGGCATCTGTTGGGGGTATATGTTGGGAAAAACTGTTGGGGGCATCTGTCGGGGCATCTGTTGTGGGCAACTGTTGGGGCATCTGTTGGGGGCAACTGTTGGGGGCATCTGTCGGGGGCATCTGTGGGGGGCATCTGTTGGGGCATATGTTGGGGAAAACTGTTGGGGGCATCTGTCGGGGGCATCTGTTGGGGAAAACTGTTGGGGGCATCTGTTGGGGGCATCTGTCGGGGACGACTGTTGGGGACGACTGTTAGGGACGACTGTTAGGGGCATCTGTTGGGGCAACTGTTGAGGGCAACTGTTGGGGGCATCTGTTGGGGGCAACTGTTGGGGGCATCTGTTGGGGATGACTGTTAGGGGCATCTGTTGGGGGCAACTGTTGGGGGCAACTGTTGGGAGCAACTGTTTGGGGCAACTGTTGGGGGCATCTGTCGGGGACGACTGTTAGGGACGACTGTTGGGGGCAACTGTTGGGGACGACTGTTGGGGGCATCTGTCGGGGGCAACTGTTGGGGGCAACTGTTGGGGCAACTGTTGGGGGCATCTGTTGGGGATGACTGTTAGGGACGACTGTTAGGGGCAACTGTTGGGGGCAACTGTTGGGGGCATCTGTTGGGGACGACTGTTAGGGGCAACTGTTGGGGGCATCTGTCGGGGATGACTGTTAGGGGCATCTGTCAGGGACGACTGTTGGGGACGACTTTTAGGGACGACTGTTAGGGGCATCTGTTGGGGCAACTGTTGGGGGCATCTGTTGGGGACGACTGTTGGGGGCATATATTGAGTGCATATGTAGGGAGCATCTGTTGGGGTGATCTCATTGGTAGCCATCAAGAAGAGATTTCAGATCAATGATGAGATATTGTTAGTCAGACACAGATTTGAAACTGTAGACTTAAATAATAAGTTGCTTATTTCAATAACAGGTTGCACTGATGCATGTTTTAAATCAAGCCCTGTTATCTACTTATTTAAAACCACTATTTGAGCTTTCAGTGCACTATCATCTGTGGATTCAAACCCAGGTCTTCAGTGGGACAAGAGAATACTTTAATCTTTGCATCAGTGATCACAGAAGTCAGATCACACTCTGAATTGCAGGAAAACTGGTGACTCTCAAAACTGAAGCAAACGGGTATGGTTATACACTGCATTAAACAATATTTGAGCCATATTGTGGTGGGGCCCACAAAAAATGGCCTTGTGTGTGATACTGCTTCAACAAATAAGCCTTTCGTCTTGAGGTCCTGGTGAGAAGCAGAAAGGAGTGACCCTTGATACTTCGCACAAGTCAAATTTTTGTCTTGGACACCAGACAAAAGGTCAATTATCCTTGAGGATAAAAAATCGTTACCATTGTTACTCACCAATTAGATATAACTGAGCTGTCTTGATGGCAGGACTTGTCACATTTGACCAGCATCCGTAGGTCCCAGCATCATCTAGGGTTAGGTCAGAGATCTGGAGATGGACCGGCATGGTGTTGTGGTACTTCTCCGGGTGAGATGTGAGGTTGGTGTAACTCTTGTTGTAGTGGTGTGTCCATTTCACAATGACCCGGGACGTGGTACTCCCCAGCGGGGTGAACGTCCAGTTGACGATGTACGGCTTGTCGTACTGAAGATTGCTGGAGCCACCATCTCCAGGCTCCTTCACTACGTTGCAGTACATGACAACAGACTTGCTAACTGTCTGTGCTGTGTCAGCGGGGCCATGAAGTGTCACATTTTGACCTTGACCTGAAAACATCAAAATAAATTGAGTATACAATGTAAGGCAGAAACACTTGTACATTTAATATCAAGTAAAAAATATGACAGGATCTTTTATCACATATATATATAAAGGTTTCTCAGGGGGATAAACACATGGGGTCATTTTAAGATAGACATGCAAATACATAAGGTCAGGTAGGTACAACTCTCAGTGTTTACAAACAAATATGGCATTGCCCTTGTCCATCGGCTTGCCAAATACAACAGATACCATGTTTATTTTACTTATCCAAAATACACTCTACTGAGCGTGACATTTTGACTTTGACCTTGACCAAAAAACTTTGGGTTCAATTGAGTTTACAATGTTTCCAATCTAGGCAGAAACTATTCCCTGATGTGACAATATGATAGGACCACTGAGAATGACATTTTGACCTTAACCTTGACCTGGAAATAGAGGGTTAAATTGTGTATTCAGTTAAGGTAGAAACATATCAGCAATGAAGTGTGTCATTTGTACCTTAATCTGGTCCTTGATAAACATTTAGAGTGAGTGAGTGAGTTTGGTTTTACGCCGCTTTTAGCAATATTCCAGCAATATCATGGCAGGGGACACCAGAAATGGCCTTCACACATTGTACCCATGTCGGGAATCAATCCCAGGTCTTCGGCATGACGAGCGAATGCTTTAACCACAAGGCTACCCGACCGCCCCTCAACATTTAGAGAATAAGCAATGAGCTATGAGGAATTGATTAACTGCCCGAGTGAGTAAATGGTTTAAGTTTGAAGCCTCCAGTGCACAAACTGATTTGACTGAAGCTTCATCTTCCCAGAGACATAAAAGTCAGATGGAATGTGTGCGTACTCAGAAAGAACATTATTGATTTGTAATGTAAGTGTAGTTTTATTATTGTCATTAAACAATAAATCACATTACTTATCACATAACTCACAGTTCTTGGTACCCAAATTAACCATCCCAGCCCTTATGTTTATCTCCTAATTCACACACTCACTCATTTACTATTTATTTAGGAACACGAGAAAGATGCTTAAATCCCATTTTAACTAAATAGTTGGCAACTGGTGAGATGTTGTCATTAAGTACATAATGTTAACATTGACAGATATTTTTACATCTAAATTCAACTCAACAGATAAATTATAGAAGTTCAAGGTAACAGCAAACTAATGCGAAATAACAAAATAACATCAATAAATAAATCACTAAAAACAAAAAACAACATTTGGCAGCAAGAAGCTAAAAATTTGAAACAGCATAAAACTCAATGAATGTTGACTGCATATGTCCAAAATCTCATGCTATTATTCACAATAAAATCTTGTAAAACATCAAAACAATCCAATACCCAATACAAACTCATGTCAAGTGACTGCCAAAAACCCAATACAAACTCATGTCAAGTGACTGCCAAAAACCCAATACAAACTCAAGTCAATTGACTGCCAAAAACCCAATACAAACTCCAGTCAAGTGACTGCCAAAAACCCAATACAAACTCAAGTCAATTGACTGCCAAAATACAAATACAAACTCCAGTCAAGTGACTGCCAAAAACCCAATACAAACTCCAGTCAAGTGACTGCCAAAAACCCAATATAAACTCAAGTCAATTGACTACCAAAATACAAATACAAACTCCAGTCAAGTGACTGCCAAAAACCTACACCTGCTCTGATCAGCAACATTAGATTATGCTGTTTTCTCTATGGTTTTCCCTCCTTTATTAGGCTATCACCAATTTCAGGATCCATTCCTTGCTGACCTGCCATCGATAAAACATATTTGGGACCGGTTAAACAAAAATCTTAGGAAATCAATGCTAAAGTGTTTAGGATGTGCTTAGCACACTGAGCCACCAACATGCGTAGTTTCACTGTCAATTATCTCGCTTGGAGAGGGAACCTGTTTTCTATTTAACTAAAACATTTACTGAGGTGTTAGCGAGAGAGCTGTTGAATTATCGGCTAGTTTAATGTTGTCAAAGTAGGACACAGTTACTGTTGAACATTTTGAGGCATGCTTTAATCATATATTCTTAAGTGAGGCGAGATGATATGAAAAGTAGGGCTTCAGAGTACTTGAGTACTCGGGCACAGGCCAGGTTTAGTGGGGGTCGAGTCCAAGTCGAGACCAAACTCTAATCTGGTTGACTTTCAATAAGTTAATAGAAACGGGTCTTTATGTAACTTTCTTTTAAATCAAATAAAAGTGTCAATAGCTTTTCTTTTAGTTATTTTTCGAAACAATACACTTATTTACAACCATTTCATATGGATATTTCCTGGTTTAAAAAAGTACTTAATTTCTTGTTTAAAAGGGATATTTTACAAAACTCTTAAACTGTCGCAAGCAGTAGACCTATTCATTTTAAATTAGCATGGTAACGTTAATCATTATTAATTCAATATTTTCATAAGATATTTCTAACTGGACATCACTTTATTGAATATTTACATTCTGTTACTGTATCTCATTCTAATTATCTCTTCAAATGTCGGGAAAATGTCTCATAGAAGTCAACTATAAATTTACAAGCCTAGTAATCTTTCAATGTTTTGTTTTCAATTAAGAAAAAGGTAAAACTGATTTGTGAATTTGTGATAACATTGAAAATGTTACTTTTAACTTACATCACATAAGCAATGAAGATGGCGTGTGCTACATTGAGATGTAAACGAATTCTTTTCCCAAGTAGACAATTCTTATTTCAATGAAGCTTCAGGGAATCAGCATACAAATTTCAAAGGTATTTTATTTGATACGCGATCACATTGGTTTTCTTAGAGATCTACGATAACATTGTGACTCTTTCACTTTGTATACGATAAGATAATTGCCAATATAATTGAATAGATATATAATTGCAGGTTTTCGAGCACAAGCAGAGTCTTACCCATCCAGTTCTCGAGTCCTATTTTTTTTACCCGTTGAATCCCTAGTGAAATGGGGTTTTATCGTGTCCAAGATTATTGCACTTCTATAGAGACGTAAATGCATGTGTGCGAGTGTCTGCTTGTGCTAGTCCGGACTAATGCTGATTTTATAGTGCTAGCCCACTGAGATACCATGCCACAGTATAACATGAATACCCCACTCAGACACAGTATACCAACTCCGAGCTGACCAGTACTTGTTTTAGCCACTACCCAGGCAGGGTAACAACAAGTACCATCTTTAGACGTCTTTTGGTATGACGTTGCCAGAGATCAAACCCCGGGACTTCCGCTCTCAGTCAAACAGTGAGTGAGTTAATATTAGCTGTGACATCATCAGTATTTCAGTCAAACAGTGAGTGAGTTAATATTAGCTGTGACATCATCAGTATTTCAGTCAAACAGTGAGTGAGTTGAGAGTGGGCGGATGAGTTTTGAACAGTTCATGCACACACATAAGTTCAACTATCATCATCATCATCATCATCATCATCCATAAAGGCCTATGGAAACAAATGAGTATTTAAATCAACTCCTGTCTCTTGTATTAGACATCTTGGTGATTTACCATATTTGCCACATTAATTTAGCACTCAGTTTTCAATATGCATGCTCAATTACCACTCTGGGCAATGTGAAGGCCTTTAGCATTGTTCAGTGTCAGTGACAAGGTTGATGTGGCCATTACACACAAGTGTCGAAATCCCTAGTGATTTAGTAAGTGGCAGTGTTTCCAAACTCTGGCCTTCACACTGACAGTGAGATCAGCAATGTCTCAGAGCAGATGCATACTGTCAACACGCTGGTGAGAGAGTAAACTTCATTAGCATGTTTACTGCCACTTTCAGCAGTATTTCAGTAATTTCAAGGCATGTCAGCTTGCCGAAGGAGGAGCGCCTGAATTGATGCAGGTCTAAGATGTTTACGGGCTTGGTGAAACCCAAGGGATTGAATGAATATGGTGCTGATGAACAAAAGATAATAATTAGGGTGATTATGAGATTCCAGCTGACATCCACCACATACTGACATCTTTGATCACAGGGCCTGCCATATGCTGTGTCCATCACTGTGTGTGTGTTACATCCATCACTGTGTGTGTGTTACAACCATCACCGTGTGTGTGTTACAACCATCACTGTCTGTGTGTTACAACTATCACTGTCTGTGTGTTACAACTATCACTGGCTGTGTGTTACAACCATCACTGTCTGTGTGTTACAACCATCACTGGCTGTGTGTTACAACTATCACCTTCTGTGTGTTACAACCATCACTGTTTGTGTGTTACAACCATCACTGTCTTTGTGTTACAACCATCACTGTCTGTGTTACAACCATCACTGTCTGTGTGTTACAACCATCACTGTCTGTGTGTTACAACCATCACTTTCTGTGTGTTACAACCATCACTGTTTGTGTGTTACAACCATCACTGTCTGTGTGTTACAACCATCACTGTGTTACAACCATCACCTTCTGTGTGTTACAACCATCACTGTCTGTGTGTTACAACCATCACTGTTTGTGTGTTACAACCATCACTGTCTGTGTGTTACAACCATCACTGTCTGTGTTACAACCATCACTGTCTGTGTGTTACAACCATCACTGTCTGTGTTACAACCATCACCTTCTGTGTGTTACAACCATCACTGTCTGTGTGTTACAACCATCACTGTCTGTGTTACAACCATCACTGTCTGTGTTACAACCATCACTGTCTGTGTGTTAAAACCATCACTGTCTGTGTGTTACAACCATCACTGTCTGTGTTACAACCATCACTGTTTGTGTGTTACAACCATCACTGTCTGTGTGTTACAACCATCACTGTCTGTGTTACAACCATCACTGTCTGTGTTACAACCATCACTGTCTGTGTGTTACAACCATCACCTTCTGTGTGTTACAACCATCACTGTTTGTGTGTTACAACCATCACTGTCTTTGTGTTACAACCATCACTGTCTGTGTTACAACCATCACTGTCTGTGTTACAACCATCACTGTCTGTGTTACAACCATCACTGTCTGTGTTACAACCATCACCGTCTGTG